AAAGAGCCCAATAATGTGTGTGTATATATATGCTGCCCTTGAGCTCCATGGAGAAAGAATAGGTTAAAAAAATGCAATGTTTTCAATCGTAATAACCAATTTTGTGAAGTAAAGAATTTAAAAATGTCCAGGGTCATAACTGAGGAGACGGGGTTGTCTCAGTTAACAAACAACAAACAAATACCTTTATTGGCATAAAATATTAAACAGTTGCCATAGGGTAAAACAATCCTATAAAATATGTGAAAAATAGATACCTTCTAAAGCATTACAAAGGTATGTCTATTTGTATGAGCTTAAATTATAGCTATATAAAATTTTCCCCAACAACAAAACCTAGAAATAAATTATACAAACTAATTTAACTCAATTAGATTGATCAGGGATTTCTTATATCTCCCCTCAAGAATAGCAGAGGGGAGAACATTAAACCGTGCTAGCATATAAGCTCTGCACAATTGCGGTGATATCAGGGAGAAAAAATATTGTGGTGGAGCACCAGATAGTGGATAGGCCCATCTAACTGAGGAGCACCTACTGGAACCAAGAGCTCTGAACTCTTGGAGTTCTATATCAATAAGTCTCTGCTTAAGCAGAATAAAAACCTCCGGCTCTGTTAAAGTGACAAAATCGTTCAGATTAAAACCAATAGAATTAATTTTCTTTTCAATAGCTGAGAGCCAGGTAGAGGGATGGGAATCTTTCAACATATAGGCAACAAGGCTATTATGAGTGCATCTAAAATGCAAACGCAACCAAAATCTAAAGGTGGTGATCCACGCCTTTGTCTCCAACCTTCTCTGATTAAGCTCCAAACAAATGGCAGCGTAGGAGACGCACGAAGGCAACCCCAGGGGTTGTCTCAGTTGAGACTCTCCCTGCCAAATGTGCAGACAAAGGCCATTAAGGATACAGACTGCATATTTTGGGTGGGTATTCCGGCAGAGACTCTGCTTCCTTTAAGGAACTATTAAACTTCTACAGTAAACAGTAATGACAAAGGGACTGTCAAATAACTGAAAGATTTAATGGTTTCTTCTGAAGCCCTATGCTATGCGAAAACATTTCAGACACAGTGGCCAGTTTTGGAATATTTGCTTTTTGCTTAAACTGGAGGGAAACTTGATTATTGTATATTTTAGGAGGTTACTGGTGCCTGTAGGCCTACAATGCTCTTTGCAGATTGTGTCCATCATGGCTGCTTGATGCGCCCCATAATAATCAGGGTCCCGTGTTGGTAGGAGAGGAAACATACCAGAGATGCTCAGCCAGACCACGTTTCCTCTTGAAGCAGAGAGCCAGTGTTAGAACAAGGGTTCCCAGTGTGAGGCCTCTAGGCACAATGGCTCTTGCCAACACCTTTCTTGGTGCCCACCGAGTGTTTTTGGAAAGTGGGTGGGTGGGACCAGCCGAGGCTTTTGTCCAGCAAGGCTTCTGATTGGCTGCACAGATCTTTAAAAAAGTTGCTTTGGCAGGAGCACAAGAATCTCCACTGTGTGACTGAAAGTAAGCGGTACTGAAGAAAGAAACTACGCTCATTGAAAAAGGCATCCCTGTTAAACAGATCTTATGTATTTCGTTCGACTTATATCCTGCCCTCCCCACATTTGTAGGCTTCTGCCTCAAATGTGGAAAAGTTACTATTAGAGTTATGTATAACCTGACTCCCTGACATTTCGTGGCTGGCTGGCCTTGCCTCCTAGAACAGCCATTTTGTGGATGTGCCCCCCATTCCCGAGTCCGAATTCCAAGTGAGCCTGCAGGCTCAAAAAGATTGGGGACCCCTGGGTTAGACCGTCAGTCTAGGACCTGGGAGTCTCAAGTTCAAATCCCTGTTCTGCTGTTAAGCCCACCAGGTGATCCTGACCCAGTCACACACACCCAGCCTAACCTGGCTCAGAGGGCTGTTGTTAAAACAAACATGTACATCCTTGGGATGGAACCACCCCAGCCTCCAAGTGCCCTTTAAAGCGAATGACTTCATGCAGCAGCTAGGGGAGTGTGCTATTTTTGGGAAGCTGCGCTATATAACAAGCAAAGCCATTTCCGTGACAACGGGACACAGTGTTGGGTGTTACAAGTCAAAACACTTCAGTATTTACAGGGTTAATGATGTTTGTTATGATCAACAGGAAGTCACATGTTTGTTTGTAACCAATCTGTTTAGACAATAGAATGCCCGGGAACTTTGGAGCTAACTTGCTAGTCTGATTGGAAACCAATGTGTCAAGTATTTAGCATATTGGCATCTTCTTCCTCTCTTTGTGAAGAAGACGCTGGCCATTCCCGTTTTACCTTTTAGCTGTAAGGATGTAGCCATATTAGCTCTTTGTTATTTTCATATCCTGTGTATTTTCCCCCCATGTTAGGTTTATAGTAAACCTTTTATATTTTAATACACACCATGGACTCAGTCTCTTCATACTCTGCTGACTTACTCAAAGAGAATCCCAACACACAGAAGGATAAAGCGTCCCCAAAACAGCCAATGAGATATACAACTTTTGCTCTTGCTAGGTGGTGATGCTGGTTTCGAGGAAATAGTATTCATATCCTTGGATGTTCCTTCACAATGGCTGGTCCTGACCTGGATGTCCCAGGCTAGCCCAATCTCACCAGAAGACAGAAGCGAAGCAAGGATGACGGTGGTTAGTACTTGGATGGGAGACCACCATGGAAGTCCAGGGTTGCTACACAGAGGGAAGCAATAGCAAACCACCTCTGCTCATCTCTTGCGTTCACTGTACAAAGGGCGAGCATATTTGTTTCTCTGCAGGAAATATGACGGACATCAGTTTCCCCTGACCTTCTCCTGTAGGCAAAAGCCTCATTTTTCAAAACTCAACTGGGCTGAATATGTTGATTGCGGCAAAACAGGTTTGAGGAAAACATGTACGCCAACACAGTCAATTTTCATGATATAGGACTTCTCCGATTCTGATCTGATATTGTATTTTTAACAAAAGTATTTCTTATCCATAAAGAAAGTTACCTTTTGCAACTACCTGTGGTCTTGGTAATCTTCTAGCCCATGGAATTTTCTGCTTCAATAGATTTCTTAAGTCTTTTAAGACAACAGGACTACGTTTTGGGAGGGTAGTCTCTTAAAAAACGAAACTGGTTGAGGATAGCAGGTTCCCCAGGCATTTTTGACTTGTGCACCTGGTCAAACCCAGCCTGACCTCGCCTTTGAAGCTGAAATGACTAAACTGAGGCTATCGTACTTTGGTCACATTTTGAGAAGACAGGAGTCACCAGAAAAGACAATAATGCTGGGGAAAGTCGAAGGCAACAGGAAGAAGAAAACCCAAACTGAGATGGATTGACTCAGTCAAGGAAGCCAGGACCCTCCGTTGGCAAGACTGGAGCAAGGTTGTTAACAATAAGATGTTTTGGGGGACATTAATTCAGAACAAACTCGACAACACTACACACAGACAGTGGGAAAAACAAAGTTTGAGTCCAGTGGCGTCTTTAAGACCAACAAAGTGCACGCACAGGAAAGCGTATAGCCAGAATTAAACTTTGGCGGTCTTCAAGGTGCCCCTGAACTCGGACTTTGCTCTGTTGCTGCAGACCAGCACGGCTACCCACCTGAATCTATCATCACAGTGGGAAAAAGTGAGATGGGAAGCCGGGCCTCCCCTCCCAGTGTGTGTTAATTGTCAGAGGCAGATGGGTTGGGAAAGGTTATTAGTTCTTATCAAGGTAATGATGCTTCTTGATGTGCACCATTTAACTCGAACGTTTTAATCAGGCTTTCTCTCTCGGTGAGCCTGACCCAGGATATGGAAAAACAATCCAGGCATGAACATTCCCCGGAGAGCCCTTGTCTGTTTCCGGGGCTGGGATCAGTAAACAGGCTCTGCACGTGCCGGTATCCTGGGGTCAATCTGTGCACAACAGGAGATTCGCAGCGCCTTTCTTATGGATCAGTTTTATATCACCACAGTCCGCATGGAAAATATATTTCGTGCTTATCCTCTCCCATCGATTTCAGTTCCAGGCCTAGCCACTTCCTTAAAGGGTAGGATCACAAAGGGCTCTTCGCTGTTGCCTATTTTTAACCTTAAGGAACGATCTTATGATTCTACTGACTCACCACCAGGGCCAACTTTCCTCTCCCGAGTCTGTACTTGGTCGTTTCCTTTGCTGTTTTAAACGGCTCCGATTTGATTAGAAATGTACACACTACACAGGCACCGTCTCTCTCTCTCTCTCTCTCGGCGCCCTAATCTGCTGGTGCAAATCCAAAACAAATAAAAACAACTGGATGTTATTGTACCGTGCCAGGAGGGTTGGCTTTTCTACAGCCAGAGTGGCCGCGCAGTTCTCCGGAGATAGATTCAGGCGGGGTAGCTGTGTTAGCCTCAAACAACATAACTGTTCCAGCGGCATCTTGAAGAGCAACAGAGTTTTATTCAAGGTAGAAGGTTTCGTGTGCATGCACACGAAAGCTTATCCCTGGAATAAAATTTTGTTGCTCATAAAGGTGCCGCGGGACTCGAACGTGATTCTCCGCAGACTGTTAAGACTCCAGCGACAGGCGCGACTCTTGCACGGCACCGCACTAGTCTGCAGCGTCTGCACGTGGTTTCGCTTTGTTAAGCCAGAGAAGGCTGCAGTGACGCTCCCACCCGCGAAATCCGGCTCCCGTTGCGGCCCCACGCGCATTTGCTCTACACCAATCCAGCAGAACGTCCCGGATTTAAGTGCCTTTCGAGCGAGGGCGACTTGCAGGGAATCTCCGCGCAAGCCTGGAGCGGCTTGGCCCCGCTTTCGGCGACTGCGCCCAGCCCGGCGGCTCTTTCTGCCCCCGCCGCGGGTGCGAGTCGGGCCGAGCCACTCCGAGCGCTCCAGGCCGGCGGGTGTCAGGTTTCCCGGAAGCTGCCCTGCGCCGGAGGAGCCGCTTCCCCCGGCAAAAGCCAGGCTTCTGCGCCGCGCGTGGCAGCAGCAGGAGCAGGTTCTGGGTTTCTTTCTCCTGCCCGCTTTCAGGCGCGATGGAGGCGGTGCCCGCCCGGGACGAGAAGCCCAACCCGCTGAGCCACGCCAACTTCTGCTCTCGGCTCTTCTTCTGGTGAGTAGAAGGCGGCCGGGCCGGTTCCCTTTCCCCTTCTCGAATCGGCTCCTTGGAAGAAAGGAAGGCGTCCTCTCGCCTGGTCTACGCTCGAGCGGGGCTTCCCCCGAGTCATTGAGGCCTGGAAGGCTTAACAGGTGGAGCTTTCTGGGCATGTGCAGAGTGCCAGTTTCTAATCGGATCCCAGGCGCCTGGAGGTCAAGGGCGCCTCTGGGTAAACGCGGAGTGCCCGTTCCCCGACGCCGTGATGAGGGTTCCCCAAAGGAGTAGGAGTCCCAAGCCCCGGCACCTCTCATTGTAGGATAAAAAAAGGGGGGGGGAAAGGTTTGTGGTGGGAGACGTCTCCTGGGTTGCATACAGACGTCATTGCGTGCGGTGCTATATCAGGCCTTTGACGTGTCGGGTCGTGCGGGGGAGTGCCGTAGGACAACATGCAGCCACGTGTGTGGCATGGATGCTGGCCTGGCGGAACCAGAGGATTCTGTTCAGGCTTCTCAGTGGGCCAGAACCAACGGCGCTGACTTCTGAGGAGTCAGGACTTCTTCAGGAAAGACATTCTGAAGTGGAAAGGTTTTTGAGCGTGTAGCCCTTTTTAGGAGGCTTGTATTTGGAGTTGGGATCGGTTTTCCCCGCAGGCTGTCTGGGATTTATGAAACAGGCTGTACCCTGAAGGTGGTTAAAAGAAGCACAGTTCTGCTCTAGTTAGCGGTGGGTGGGATAGTGAGGGAAGTGTGGGTGTAAACTGATGACTGGAAAGGCATTGCTGAGTTGGTCTGTTGGGGGGAAAGAAAAGTTGAGTGGCACCTTAAAAACTAACGGCATTTATTTGGCTAGGAGCTTTTCTGTGTCACTGGCTGCTGACTTCTTCAGCTATACTGGTGGCATCTCGCAGTGGACCAGCCAGAATTTTATGAAGGCCATTTCTACGTAAAAAGCGATGAAACCTATTTCTTCTTATTCAGCTGATGCTTCACAGGCCTGGCGAGTTTGCTACCCTTTCCCCTCACCTCTTGGCAAGTCTATTTCCTGCCTAGAAAAAAAAGATGACTAGTTTATTGTGGATTGACTGTAGAATCAAGAAGAGAGACTTAATTCAAATCTCTTGGTTTAAATCAGGTTTCCTGTTTTGAAATTTGCACGCTTCCTGAAGGTTTCGTGCTGATTGGCTGAGTCTGGCGTAGTGAATGACTAGGATCAGGGAGATCCAGGTTCTAATCCCCCGTCTGCCATGAAGCTTGCTGGGTGACCCGGGGCCAGTCACACACAGGCTCTCTCTCAGCCTGACCTACCTCACAAGATTGTTGTGAAGGTAAAATAGAGGCGGAAAGGGGGATCCGTGTACGCCACCCTGAGCTCCTTGGAGGAAAGATAGGATTAAAATGTGCTCAAATAAACTGCCATAAAGCATATTAGAGTGCAACTGAAGAAAGGCCTTTATGTAGCAGCCCTAATAGCCTGATCTCTCCAGACCTTGAAAGCTAAGCAGGGTCGGTATTTGGATGGAAGACCACCAAGGAAGTCCAGAGTTGGTTTGTGGAGAAAGGCCGTGGCGAACCATCTCTGCTCATCTCTTGGCCTTGAAAAGGAGGAGGAGGAGGAGATTGGATTTATACCCCGCCCTTCACATGGAGTCTCAGAGCGGCTTACAAACTCCTTTCCCTTCCCCTCCCCACAACAGACACCCTGTGAGGTGGGTGGGGCTGAGAGAACTCTTGACACAAACTGCTCTTTTTCAAGGACAGCTGTGCCAGAGCTTGTGACTGACCCAAGGTCACATCAGCAGGTGCAAGTGGAGGAGTGGGGAATCAAACCCGGTTCTCCCAGATTAGAGTCTGCGCACTTAACCACTACACCAAACTGGCTCTCTGTGAGAGACCCT